GCCCGGGCAAGGGAAGCGGAGCAGGCTGGGGCCGCGTTGCTCTGCTTCCCGCCTCCGGTGAGTGTGGGGGGGGAAACCTTTCCCTAACCCCCCTTCCCTTCCCCCCAGCAACACGGCTGGGGTAGGGGTAGGGGCAGGGGCAAGGGAAGCGGAACCGGCTGGGGCTGCGTCGCTCCGCTTCCCGCCGCCGGTGAGTGGGGGGTGGGGAAGAACCTTTCCCCAACCTCCCCGCACACCACAGTCACCGGTGGCGGGAAGCGGAGTGCCACGACTGGGAGCTGGGGGAGTGGAGCGGGCTGGGGCCACATTGCTCCACTTCCCGCTCTGCTGCTGGTGAGTGCCCTGGCCCCAGCCCCAGCCCCCTTCCCGGGCTCCGCTGCGCCCGGTGGCTTCACCCTCTTCCCGGCCACCGCGCTCGTGATCCTGCCCCGCCCCTGCCCGCGGTTCCCGAACCCTGCCCTGCTCCCCGCGCGGCTGCTGACCTTGCCCCGCTCTCGCCGCTGGCTGCTAGGATTTAAAATCCAAGCCGCCCACCGCTAGGCACCATGGGAACGCCCCCTCCCACCCGGTTTAAAGGGACAGGCGTGCCCTCTGCGCCGCGAGCTGACAGCTGGGAGCAAAGAGGCGCTTCCAAGGTCTCACCCCGCAACATTGTCCCCGCGCGAGTGTAAAAATTAAAAAGGCACCACTTTTGGGGAATGTGCTCAGTGGGGGAGCGGCCGCTCCCCCTGCTCCCCCCTAGCTACGCTACTGCTAAGGAGTGGGCGGCCCCTAATCCAGTCAGAGCGCAACGGGGGAACCCGGAGAGAAGCGCTGCTAGCGAAGGGAGAACAGAAACTCAGGGCGAGGTTGCGCCCTCTGCAGGGGTTGTGTGTCACTGCTGCACTGTTCCAGGCAACGCATGGGGAACGGAGTGGAATGGCACAGCCTCTAATGCAGGGGTGCCGGTGGGTGGGAGGTGCTGAGAGCGGGGTAGGGGAGCTGATGGGGGGGCTGCTGACATATTACTGTGCCTCTTTGACAATGTACATTGGTAAATTCTGGCTCCTTCTCAGGCTCACGTTGGCCACCCCTGCTCTAATGTGTTTAAAAAGCATGTGGGCCCTGCCGACAGAAACCAGCCAAGCTGATAAGCGCCTGAGTCAAAGCAGAGTGTCTTTTAAAGGTCAAGGCTGAAATGCTGGTCCCCTGGAAGTCAGTCAGAATTTTGCCATTGACTCAGAGGGGTAAGGGTTTCCCCCCACGCATACAAAGTCTGTTGTAGGCAGGAGGAGGGCAGGTTCCTGAACTTGGGACAGTCACACTTGTATGCGAACAAATCCCCAGGGGAAGGAGAAAGTGGCAGCTGAGTGAGGCTTTCGCTTTTCACCCGATAGAACATTAACCAGGCCTTTGTGCTACACGAACACACAGGCACAGTGGGGGAAGCCTCAGGTTTAAAACACTCAGGCTCACCAGCAGCACACCTTCACATCCCGACAGGACCGGACGGGCCATTGGCTGGTTAAGCAGTACAAAAAAGGAGTGATGGATGAACACAAAGCGTTTGCTCATTCATTCATTGAGGCAGATCATTCACTGCTCCTGAGAGTTCAGACGGCTGCCGTTTTACTGGTGAAATACTGGCCAAACCCAAAAGAGTCATGGATTTTATCACAAGCAACTATTTATCTGAAAACATGGACTGGAAAAGATGTTATTTATTAGCTGTCATGGACCATGTTGTACCTGACAGGCACAGGCCTGAGTTAGAGGATGGCCGGAACTGGAGATGGGGGAGCTTAGGTGTGGATTTCACAGTCCTTCCGGGAGCACAGAATCAGAGCAATGCAGAGCTGGAAGGGACCCAAAAAGTCATCAAGTCCAGGCCCCTTCGCAGAGGCAGGGCCAAATAAACCTGGACCATCCCTTACAAGTGTTTGTCCAGCCTGTTCTTAACAACCTCCAATGATGGAGCAAAGAGTCCTGTGGCACCTTATAGACTAACAGACGTATAGGAGCATGAGCTTTCGTGGGTGAATACCCACTTCTTCGTGGATGATGGAGATTCCACAATTTCCTTGGAAGCCTGTTCCAGAGCTCAACTAACCCTTAGAGTTAGAAAGTTTTTCCTAATATCTAACCTAAAACTCCCTTGCTGCAGATTAAGCCCATTACTTGTTGTCCTAACTTCAGTGAACAAGGAGAACCATTGATCACCATCCTCTTTATAACAGCCCTTAACATGTTTGAAAACTTGTCAGGTCCCCCCTCAGTCTTCTTTTCTTGGGACTAAATACAGCCAATTTTTTTAACCTTTCTCTACATGTTAGGTTTTCTAAACCTTCTATCATTTGTGTCTCTCTCCTCTGGACTCTCCAATTTGTCCACATCTTTCCTAAAAGATGGCATCCAGAACTGGACACAGCACTCCAGCGGGGACCTCACCAATCCTGAGTGAAACAGGACAATTACCTCCCGTGTCTTACATACAGCACTCCTGTTAGTTAATACATCCCAGAGTGATATTAGCCTTTTTCACAGCTGCATCACATTGTTGACTCACATTTCATTTTTGATGCACTAGAAGCCCCAGCTCCTTTTCAGCAGTACTGCCACCTAGACAGTTATTCCCCATTTTGTAGTTGTGCATTTGATTTTTCCTTCCTAAGTGAAGTACTTTGCACTTGTCTTTATTGAATTTCATCTTGTTGATTTCAGACCAATTCTCTAATTTGTCACGGTGGTTTTGAATTCCAAACCTGTCCTCCAAAGTGCTTGCAACCCCTCCCACCTTGGTGTCATCTGCAAATTTTATAAACATAGTCCCGACTCCATTATCCAAATGGATTAACAAAACTATTTAATAATACTGAACCCAGGACCGACCCCTGAGGGACCCCATTACATACACCCTCCCAGTTTGACAGTAAACCATTGATAACTACTGTTTGATTACGGTCTCTCAATCAGCTGTGCACCCACCTTATAGCAATTTCATCTAGACTACATTTCCCTGAGAATGTCATGTGGGATTGTATCAAAAGCCTTAATAAGAAATGAAGATATATCACATCTTCTGCTTCCCCCCATCCACTAGGCCAGTAACCCCATCAAACAGGAAGTTAGGTTGGTTTAGCACAATTTTTTCTTGGCAAATCCATGCTGGCTATTCCTTATAACCTTATCCCCAGATTGTTTAATAATTTGTCCCAGTATCTTTCCAGGTATCAAAGGTAGGCTGACTGGTCTATAATTCCCATGTCCTCTTTTTAAAGACAGGCACTATGTTTGCCCTTCTCTAGTCCTCTATGACCTCACATATCCTCCCGGAGTTATTGAAGATAGATTACTTCTGAGTAGCTGGTCACCATTCAACTTTTTAGTGAAGACTGAAACATAATAGGCACTAAACCCCACAACCTTCTTGATGTCATAAGTTATTAGATCTCCTTCCCCACTAAGTAGGGGACCTACACTTTCCTTCCTTTTCTCTTGCTCCCAATGTATTTAAAGAACCTCTTTTTATTGCCTTTTATGTCCCTTGCCAGGTGTAAATGATTTTGTGCCTCCCAGCACACATGGTGCACTATGCTCCCACTCCCTGCCTTTTCCCAACTCCTTTGGGGCTATTTGGCCCCCCAGGGGGGCAATTTGCATACAGCAATCTGTGCAACTATGCAAAAGCTATGAACCGTCCAGACCTATGGTTCCTGCCTCCCCACATTCCTGTTGAGAAAGATTGCCTTGACTAGTTGGGAGCAGAAACAGTGACTTTGGTGACTAATCAATCACACACCATGAATAGCAAAAACTTGCCCCCAAAACGGGGTGTCATCAAAACCAAGAAACTTTTGCAGGAAAATATCATTGTGGGAGGAGGTGTCTGAAATCTGGATCTAAATGTTCTGGCCCATCGCTACTTGGATCTTCAGGAGAAGACTGACTGTTACATACTGAGATTTGCAGCTAGATTGAGTTTGAAGCGACAGCATCCTTTATGCAGCCATAATGTATTTGAAACTAGGAACAATTTTCTATCCATCCCAGTAGGTTCTATTGCCGTGCCTACTGCTGTAAGAGCAGAGCTCCTTTCACCACTCTGGCTGCATATTTGTCCCCTGTCAAACAAAAGCAGCATTCCAGGTTTCAGTCAACAGCAGGGGATGTGGAAGATGGTGAGTGTAGCCCCTCTGGAAGCAGCACTCACTGGGTTTTATCCTGAAGCCTCTTGCAAATGGGAGCTCTGGGGGGAAGTGTCTGTAGTAAGTGGCAGTACGGCCTCGTGGTTAGAGTACTTGATTGGGATTCAGGAGATCCAGGGTCTATTCCTATTTCTGCCAATGGCCTCCTGGGTGACCCTGGGCAAGTCACATCACCTCTCTGTACCTCAGTTTCTCCTTCTGTAAAATGGCTCAGAGCACAAAGTACATATTGCAACAGACACATGGACCATCAACAGCATGATTGTTACAGTTAACTGGCTTTCATGTGGAAGTGTGCCCTTTGCTCCTTTGTAAAGCACCTTGAGATCTACCAATGAACAGGACTGTGTAAGAGCTAGGTATTATTATTCCAAGAATTCGATCTGGACATCATTTACTCTGTGCTCTCTATCCATCAGGTTGCATAAACCAAACAGTTTGCCCATCCCAGCCTAACCTGTACCCAGACCTCATCCGCATCCTTTCTTAACAAGGGGCACCGCTGGTCTAATCCTTCCCACACCCCACCAGTCCCAACCCCGCTTTGAAACGTGCCCATCCACTGGCAGATCCTTTGCTTCCAACTGCCCAGTCCCACAAAGCGCAGCTTCCCAGTGTAATCACACACACTGCAGGGGCTATTAGAAGGGTGGCTGAAGGACAAAAGCACCCCACGAGGGAGCTACAGAACAGACCCCGTGGCATACAAGGCATACGCCCACCCACAGTGTAAATGATGACCACGCTAGGTGCAGGGCAACAGAGAATTAGGGGTAAAGCCTCTAGCCAGGCCCCTAAGATAGCAGAAGAGCAAACCTTTAGGAAGAGGGGAAGGAAGCCCAGCAGCCTCCTCTGCTGCTCTTCTGGGATGAGATAAGGAGACGCCTGCTCGTACTCCAGAAACTGCTTGGCTAGGGTGTCCCACAGGAGAGCGGGGCACTGGTGCTGCCCCTCCCCACTGGCCTCAGGCTGCGCCGGGGCTTCCACATCATTGTCAGGTCCTGGCTTCTGCCCCGTCTCATCCAGGAAATCCCCCTGCTGCTTTGGGAGCTCCTCTGCTGGGTCCATGCCGTGGCCAAACAGACCTGAGTTTAAAAACAAGGGTTATTTTAAAGTTGCCAACCCTCCAGGATTGTCCTGGAGTCCCCAGGAATTAAAGATTATGTTATGCGATGAAACCTCCAGGAATATGCCCAACCAAAATTGGCAACCTTACTTATTTTCTTGTAGGATTTTCCATGAAGAGCTGATTGACTGCTCTTTGCACAGGGGAAACAGCCAGACTCAGTCTCAGTTGCTTTCTTTTCAAACTAAGGGCAGCCACCAGAATAAACTCTCCAGGAGAGAGCACATGGTGTGGGTTTCACTTGTAACATGCTGCACTTGCTGCCTCACCAAATGGCAGTTGCAGCCCATTAAAGGTGCAATACCCAGAAACAATCTCAACACTCAGAAGCTGCTGAGTAACAGATCCCTGTAGTTAGCTAGTTAAGTCTTCCCCAGTCAGAAAGGCTAACCAGCCCCCCAAGCTCCACAGTTATTTTTCTTGGTCTTCTATTAATCCCTTTCACTTTGTACACATCTGTTGGGTGTCAGCATGCTCCAAACGGGATGCAGAATTTATATGCAGTCTCAAAGGACCCATGTACAGAGGCCTCCCTGCTCCAAGACATGATCCCGCTGGTCATGAATCACCAAATCACATGAGGTGAAGTCCTGGCCCCACTGAAGTCAATGGCAAAATTCTGATAGACTTCAGTTGGGGACAGGATTTCACCCAGTGCCTCTTTCTTGCAGCCATATCCCCCCATAAGCTCAACTGTAACTTGCTGTCCACTATCACCCTTAAGTCTTACTGCTTCCCACGTCCTTCCTGGCCATTTGGGCTCGATCCTGCAGGATGTGGAGTGCTCCGGCCCCGAGCCGGAAAAGCACGTAAGCATGTCAGTGGGACTGCTCACGTGCTTAAAGTGAAGTGCAGTGCCTGGCAGCTCAGCTTGGAGCAGCTCCCCTATTCTGTGCCCCCTCCCCCCCGCTCAGTCACGGCCTACCACCCCCCTTTTCTGTGCTTCCCTGCCTCAGTTCCCCTCCAGTCTCTTCCTCCTCATTCAGCCCAGTTCCACACCCACCACACACACACACACACACACACACACACACACACCACCACCACCACCCACTCCTCTGCCCACCTCACTCCCTGTCTATTCCATTTGCCATCATCACCACTTCCTCCTCGGGGCAGGTTCCACACTGGCAGCCACCTAACACCATGCAGCACAGCTGCCTCTAGTGGCCACCAGGTGCAACTGCAGCTCAGCCAACCGCATGCAATTCAGGCTGGGCCGCGGGAATGCATGATACCGGGCTGTCCCGCCTCTGCCTTGAAAGGTGGCATTGGGGGGAAATCAAGGAACTGCAGACGGCTGAAGACAGCAGGTTCCAATTACTATCGTCTACCATCTCTGCTTACAATCGTTTAATTGTTACATCTAAGCTCTCTACTCATTGCTGAGAACAACCCTCACAAGCGCAACACGCAAATGCTATAGAACTAGCATAGGCTTTACCTCTTGGACAGAGAAAACAGATCGAGTACTAGGTTAGGACTCGGGAGACCTGGGTTCTAGCCCTGGCTCTGCCGCTGGACCACTGGATATCCTTGGGCAAGTCGCATCCCCACTCTGTGCCCCAGTTTCCCCATTTGTAAAATGGGGATGAAGATGCTGACCTGCTTTGTAAAACACTCTAATATCTATGGATTAAAAGTGAGGTATTATCCCTAGAGGGTAGCACCCTTTGAATGGACAGCTCAGCCCACACAGGGAACAGTCAGAACCTTGCCACCACTAGGGCTAGCTCATGCCCCTGCAGGCCAGAGTCGGGGTGAATGGCTCAGTGTGGGGGGAACTGGCCAAAGTAGGGGAGTGAGTCTTCCAGTAGCCTGATTTCCACTAAACTTAGGCCCACAGGGTGCCCTTTTGGTGCTGCAGGCAGGGGAAGCTCTATGGTGCCCTAAACTTATTCTCACCCTGAAGTCACTGCCTCGTCCCTATATCCAGAATGTCTGCTCCCTGCCACGGGCCCCTGTGAGGTCATCGCCTCACTCCTGTATCCAGAGTCATAACACTTCAATAAGGTTCTGCCCACTGATACCTAGATCATTCCCTGGAATTTTGGAATTAATGAGATGCATTTTTCAAAAAATTACCATGAGACAGACAGAGAAATGCCATGGAGTTGAATGTAAGGGCTCACTTCACTTGCCCAATTTATTAGTACATGAATTAACATGAGAGCGGACCCTTCAATACAAATTACACTCCACACACAAGTTAATATATAGAAAAACAATGGGATACTTCCTATGCATATGAAATACAAGTTTTTTCTACATGGGCTGCTTACTCTTGATTCCAGATAGTTAATAAAAATGTTAAAGGCAGTATGGCCAACCCAAGCATTCAAAATTCATGGGCTCCCCAAAATCATGAGCTTGGCTTAAAAATCATTAGATTTTAAGAAAATACTAAATTTGACATTCTTTCTATTTGCTACCTGCTACTTTCTGAGCCATAGGGTGTCACATTTCCAAGCTTTTCTCATCAACACTGAGGGCTAGAAATGTGTTTGTTTTTTTTAATGAAAGTTGAGATTTTCATATATTCACATGACTCTCGGAGCTGGGACTTCAACTTAAACAGCAAATATCATGAGATTCACAATAAAATCATGAAAATTGGCAATGCTGTAAAGGATCAATGAATTTTGAAAAATTGGAAAAATTTCCATGAGAAATTACAATATTTCAGCATTTGTTTTTATCCCAACTTGGGACAAAAAGTCAAAATATCAAAAAGTTTAATGTAACAAAGTTCTGAAAAATTTTGGTTCAGAAACATCAGAAGATTTCATTTCAATAGTTCCAAATAAAGGAAACATATTGACATTTCTGAATCAACATATTTTGTTTCGGTTTGTGAACCAAATTGAAACACTTACTTTCAGGTTGGCTGGATATTAATCTTCTTTCCCTGAGGTGCCCTGGTGCCTTATGGGAGTTGTAGTTTTTAGTGGCTCATGCCCCCATTCTTCTTTATGGGCTGTGCTTCCCAGCCAAATAACATCTCCTATGATGCTCACTGGTCTCACGACTTCCATAATGCACCACATCAGTTCAATTAGAGAGAAGACCACAGTGCGCCCTGGGAGATGTAGTGCAACCAAGAAGCCCATACTCTAATGGATAATATGGGACATGAGGCAACATAGGAGATTAAGGGTGAATTGACCCAAAATGAAATAGTCAACATCAATATGTTGGGGGTGATACAAAATAGTTTATTTTGATTTTCCCAACAGAAAACATTTCTGCTGGAAAATTTCAATTTGTTCTCCTGAAACTTTATTTTCTGTTGAAAAAAATATTTTGAGAGAAAATCCCCAGCCATCTCTACTAAACATATCTTAAATTCTCTCACCACAGCCGGATTAAACAGTTAAAGCTTAATGCTCATTTGCTCTCCAGCATGTATGCTGCTTGTTTACTATTGGCACTTTGCCTAGCTTGGGCACTGAAACCAGCCTGGTCGGTTTCAGTCCCTGGTTCTCACGCAGTAGCCCAGGGCTCCAGTGAGGGGGATATTTTTACCATTTCATAGCTGTTCAGTGGCCCATGTGGAACAAATCGGTGGTCACAGCACTTGTCAATACTCTTTGCTAGTAGACACAGCAGGAAGGCAAGGGGGAAATGGACATGGAGACAGAGCTATGGGGTTAGTTCTGTACCTTTGAGTCAGGGCTGTAGGCAGGGCACCAAAGGGGAAGCTTGCTCCATCACTGAATAATCAGGAGACGTCAGTCTCCAAGGCTGTTGATCTGGCACTTGTCACCAGCATCCAGGTTTTTTTTTTAAATAAGTAATTAATGAAGACAACACCATGACATAGGCAGAACGTGTGCAATGACAGCACTGCAGAAGATAGACAGGAAGACCATGTGCCCTATGACTGAGCGGGTGGAGCGTTTGTCATGCTTTATTTTTGGCTCTGGTAAGACGACATTGCTTGGCCTCAGCCCACTTCTGAGATGCGTATTGCCTCAGAAGAGTCCGGACTTTTCCAAGGGGGCTAATGAAAAGTGTGTTCAGAGCCAGTCGTTGTCAAAGAGGCAGCCCTTGCCCTTCGCAACAAGTCCGAAGGGCATCCCTTCTTCATAACAGTAGTCTCACTACCTTGGTGGTGGCACTACAAAAGCTAAAGCCAGTTATCGCCAGCAGGGAGAACACTGGATTTAGGTATTTTTCTGCCTCTATGGCTGGATCCAGCAAATGCTTATTCAGGTGAGTAACACAGTATAGTCCGATCCAACTCGGCAGGATTACTTCCGTAAGTAAAGACCAAAGATGGTCCAATGATAATAATAAGCCTATCTACCTTTCATATGGCACTTTTCATCAGTAGACATCAAAGCACTTTACAATGGAGGTCAGTATCATTATCCCCATTTTCTAGATGTAAAAACTGAGGCACAGGCGGTCAAGTGACATAGGCCAGTGGCAGATCCAGAAGTAGATAAAATTATTTGATAATTGACAATTTTATGAACTGTCTCTTTTTTTAAACTAATAATTTATTTAACTTTTTTTTATTATTAGCCCAGCTTAAATGAGGCCTACTCACATGAGTAAGGCACTGAAGGATTGGTCCCTTAGGGTGAAATCATGCCCCCTACTGAAGTCAATGGGAGTTTTACCAGGGACTTCAATGGGGCAAGGATTGCCCCCAATGTCTATGATTCTGTCATCCTGTGCCTGTAAAGTTAAATAACGAGAGAGGAAAACACAGGAAAGTATTAGTGGCAGGTACCTAATCAGAGCTGAAAATACTCTAAATTGAGATCATTATGCAACTCAAAAAGCCCAGGCTTGGTTACATTCCCTTTCACTTAGAACACAGTTCACTCTTTCCATCCCAGAAGTAGAATTTATATAGGGAAACCACCATAGGCGGCGCGATCTATGGGCCCGTGGTGCCTGGGCACCAGGAATATTCCTGGCCCAGGGCCCA